AGAAAAATAACAAAAAAATTAGTACCTGATCCATAAGCTCTGATTTCTTTACTGGAGGCAGCCCCCTCTGCACAAGGGTTCAGTATTGTCTCCTGACCTACCTGGACTGTATACGTAGCTCTGTGTATGACTCTTGGGTATTGGACACTTCCTCTCACAGGAATAAGTGACAAATAGAATGTGGTTTGGCTAGGGGCAGTGACTCACACCTGTTATCCCAGCACTTTGGGAGGCCGAGGTGGGCGGATCACGAGGTCAGGAGATCAAGACTCTCCTGGCTAACACGGTGAAACCCCATCTCTACTAAAAATACAAAAAATTAGCTGGGCATGGTGGGGTGCCTGTAGTCCCAGCTACTTGGGAGGCTGAGGCAGGAGAATGGCGTAAACCCGGGAGGCAGAGCTTGCAGTGAGCTGAGATTGTGCCACTGCACTCCAGCCTGGGTGACAGAGCGAGATTCCATCTCAAGAAAAAAAAAAATGTGGTTTAACAATTGGTCTTTTATATAGGTTGGGTAATGATTGAGAAAAAAAATACAGACCATTTAAAGTATTCCTTTTGTTTCTATGTAGCTTATGCTCAATATTATATTTAAAAAGCAATAGTGAAATGACTCTAGTCAACCAGTATTGATCATTTCAAGTTCATTAATCTCTACACAGGTATTTTCTTTTAATTGCACATTATAAAAAACAAATACCCCCCCTCAAACACACAAATGTACAAACAACACTCCTGCAATACACTGAAAAATAAAGATATTAGTAAAAAAAGCAAAAGTAGCCATAATCACATTGCATAAGGATAAGCAGGTTCTGTTGTCTATGGTATTGGATTTCTGCTTTTTAAACAAAAATGATGTTAGAATAACACATTTTATATATAAATAAGCAATATGATTAGAGGACAATGCATTCACTTCTATTTATGTACATTAATTTATTTGATCAATCCTCTATTAATGGCCATTTCATTTATATACAATTCTTCATATCACAAGAAGTCTGCTATGACTAAAATTATGCATACATAATTTATCATATCCCAGCGTTACACTGAAATATGTTTTTAAAAATGGCCTGTAAATATAAAAGATTTGATCTTAAAGTCAATTTTTGCCGCCTTGCCAAGTCAAGTGTTTTATAATTATCTAATTATCATCACATATTATCGTATGTTTCATATATTGTCACGTATGTCCCGAGTTGTCTCGTACAATCTCATTATATGATGTAGCACCTGATACCCAGAGCTGTTAAGTAAAATTACAGTTTTATAGACATTGTTTGATTGTATCCATAGAAATTGCACATAATAGATTTTTTAGTAACGTGCGATAAAACAGATCTGTCTTAAAAGATAATTTTCTTAAATACTCTTACAGAATATTGTAATGTGTTTATGTTAAAGTGGTATCTGAAAATTCACAAAATTAAGGTCCCATAGACGCTCAAAGATCACTCATGTCACTTCTCAAGCAGGGCAGGAGGATCCCAGCAGTGACTGAAGATAGAAGGAAGAAATAAGTTTTGCTATATGGGGAGTAATTTATCTTGTTTATATCAACTAGGCACTTGGTCATTATTAATATTGGTGCCAATAGAAAGTGATGTGGTAGGTCATTGCATTGCAAAATTGCTGGAAACAAGCAAGATTGCACCAGTGCCCTCCAGCCTAGGAGACAGTGAGACTTCATCTTCATCTAAAAAAAAAAAAAAATGAAGCCACTCATCATTTTTGTATTTGTTTTAAAATACTGTGTATCCAATAGTGGGAATAGGTTTACATGTCAGTAGACTCATAGATATATAGAAAAAAATGTGACAACTGAAAAGTGTCTTATAAATAAACTAGCATGAGGCTTTTTATTATGGGGGGTGATGAGACGGGACTCATTTCTAGAGAAGAAGAGTCTTGTTAAATACCATGGTAATTTAAAGTTGCATTGGGTGCCTACTTCATAACATGTTTCTAGAGAGAGATACTCAGGAAAGTTAAAAGGTTAAAAGTCACTGCCTCTGGTTTCAACACAGGACCTCCCACATTCTGCCTCATTGAGCGTTATTATTGCTCTATTTTAACAAGTGTAGTTATACAACTGATCACCATTAGGTATCTGTCTGTTCATTGTATTACATGTATATCCAAACCTACCATTGTACGTCATTACTATGTTTAGGTATTTCAATGCCAAGGCTGAAGGAAAAGATTCATGATACAGAAACATTCCTACCATCTTAACCCACTACACAAAGCCATTGGTAATATCAAATTTGGACATTACTATTTTTCATCAGTCATTGGTGACTGATTTAGAGTGATTTAGAGAGATAGAGAGTAGAAAGAAATGGTGAAAATTGAGGTGGACAGGCTAGAAAGGATCAAAGCCTTGTGATAAATGTTTTACATATTTCTGTAGAGCCCCAAGATGGAAGGGTTAGATCAGGCTATCTGGCCCAAATCTTTATTCAAGTCATGAATATTCTAAGCAATATTTCTAATAAGTGATTTCTCAACCTTTAATTGTACAAATTCAGAGAAATAAAGGTTACAATTAATTTAGTTTCTTCCATTTCTAGACATACATTTATTGAGCTTAATACCCTGCCTTTGTTGGGGTTGAAATTTCCTTCTCTTTAGACAACACTCATTATATATGATTAAAGTAGCCAATAGGCAGATCAAATCAACCTTTTCATGACATAACTGTCATATGTTATATGGAAGGGAGATGGCATATTTATATCTATGCAGCAATTCACTGACCTTCCAATCTGTCTGGACTTAATAATATTTCAAAGGGTGTTTTCTACCCTCCTGATGCTCATAAAACAGATTAACAGAAGAATATGAGTAAATTGAGAAAACATGTCACAAGTGGAAACCCTCCAAACCTGTTTTCCAAAATGAAATATTCCACGTAGTTTTTTTTTTTTTTTCCATCACCATACTTATCCATAACCTGTCACCGTGTCCCACAAATGAAACCTTGCAAAGCAGAGGTGCCTTTTGGGCTTTACTTACATTCTGGTATTTTTTCACAGAAGGACATGTTTTACAAGGACAGCAAGAAAACCTAAGACATTCAATGTCTTTGACATTACACAATCATAAAGGCTAAATAAAAGTGTCATTGAGTTTTGTATGGTTTTGCAAACATGTGGCCTTAGCAATGTTTTCTCAACAAGTTTCTCGTAGGGTTTTAGCATTATACGTTGGAACAGAGCTGAATGAAGGTAGGTGAAGATGAAGAAAGCACCCACATGAATGCCTGTAACTTCCTATGTAATTAATATGCATGTTTTGTAGACTTATCACCTTAGTATCCATAACCATTTCATTTACTTAGAGCTTAGTGGTAAGAAAATATGGACACATAGAGGAGGACTACACACACTGGGGCCTTTTGAAGGGTGGAGGGTGGGAGACAGGAGAGGATTAGGAAAAAATAACTAACGGGTACTAAGCTTTTTACCTGGGTTTTGTATGATTTTGCAAATATGTGGCCACATTCCTGGGTTAGGAAGTAGTCTGTACAGCACACCCCCATGACACAAGTTTACCTATGTAACAAACCTGCACTTGTACCCCTGAACTTAAAAGTTTTTTAAAACCTATACAATATTTATTCAAAGCACACATTCTACCCTCAGTTAACTAGATTTTGATACCTCACAAACATTCAAAAATGTTATACCGTGTATTGATTTTTGTTACTGATTTATTTTCCCATTTGGTGACCCAGAAACCATGCAGATGCTTTGGTTGGGATGACAGGCATAACATATGCAGTCTTTGAGCAAAGAATGCTCGCAGTCTCATACCGGAGGCGTTCGTTCAATTAACAGACTGATAGATAGAATAGTACCTTTGAGAGAGTATTATTTATGAACCACAAGAGGGACATTTAAACAGGGCTAGAAATAGGAAGAAGGGAAGAGAAGTAGACTGGAAATGAATGAATTAAGAATATCAGCTTAACTAGATTTTACTGGACGTATCACTTTATCCTTCAATTATTACATGTTGGACTTCCTTTACTCTAAAAAGACATTGCCCTGTCCACCTCAGGATGTCTAATTTTCAGGCTCTCCATCTAGAATCCTTTCTTCTCTCCGCATACCCATTGTATCTCTACTCATTTTTAGATCTAAAACCAAATGTCCCCATTTCAAATAATCTTTTCTTCTCTACATTCTAGTTAGACATTTTGTTTATGCTTAGAGTACTGTGCCTTTTGACTTCATGTCATTTTATAGTTTATTATGAATTATTTGTTAGTTTAATTAATGTTTCCAGTTTTCACTACATTTTATGACTCACTAGTACAGAAAGTAGTGGATTCAACATGAAATGCAAAGTACATAGCAGTGTGAAAGGCATATACTAAACACTCAATAACTCTTAGAAGAATTACTGCCTATCACTCCTATAATCCCAGCACTTTGTGGGACCAAGATGGGTAGATCACCTGAGGTCAAGATTTTGAGACCAGACTGGTCAAAATGGTGAAACCCCATCTCTACTGAAAATAGAAAAATTAGCCAGGCCGGGAGGCAGGCACCTGTAATCCCAGCCACTCAGGAGGCTGAGGCACAAGAATCACTTGAACCAGGGAGGCGGAGGTTGCAGTGAGCCGAGATTGCACCACTGTACTTCAGCCTGGGCGACAGGGTGAGACTCCATCTCAAAGAAAAAAAAAAGACAAAAAGGAAATTTACTGCCTGAAATATATATTAAACAAATAAAAATTTGCCCCACTAACTCAAAGACTGGAACATTTTTCAAATATAGAGATTACCTTACCTAAATTGAAAACACATAAAAAAAAAAGCATATTTAGAAAATTCCAAAGAATTGCTAGATTGTGGCTTAGTAAAATATGTATTATATTAAATTAGAGTATTTGAGACAACTTTATATTATAATATATAATTTGAAGAAAACACCAATATGAATATGCATTTTTGTGTGTATAAACACGTATTTTTAGTATTTCCTTAAAATAAAATTTTATTTTTCAGTTTTTTCAGGGCCTCTTTCACATCCTTGTTCCGCAGGCTATAAATCAGGGGGTTCAACGTGGGAACCACAAGGGTGTAAAACAATGAGGTCATTTTATCTTGATCTAGAGAATAGGAAGAACTTGGCCGGAAATACATAAAGAGCAGAGTTCCCTGGAAAATTGCAACCGCAAATAAGTGGGAAGTGCATGTAGAGAAAGCTTTGAACCTCCCCTCAGCAGAGTGGATCTCCAAGACTGATAGGATGATATAACAATAAGAAATGAGAGCTCCTGAAATGGTACTCAGTTCAATAAAACCAAAGACAGTGAATAACACTAACTCATTGACCTGTGTATCTGAGCAAGAGAGTAATAAGAGAGGAGGGATATCACAGAAGAAATGATTAATCTCATTAGACCCACAGAAGCATAGGTGGAATGCCAATGTCGTATGTATCAAAGCATCTGCTATTCCCACCAGATAAACCCCAGTCAATAGTAGATAGCACACTCTGCTAGACATGCTGACTGTATAGTGCAGGGGATTGCTGATGGCCTTGTACCGATCAAAGGCCATCACTGCCAGCAGTAGACACTCAGAATCTGCAAAGATACAGAAGACCAAGAATTGCAGAGCACAGCCATAGAAGGGAATTGACTTGTTCTTGGAAAGTAGATCTACCAGCATCTTGGGCCCAATTGCAGTAGAATAGCAGAGATCACAGAAAGGCAGATGACTGAGGAAGAAGTACATTGGTGTGTGAAGTTGGTAATCCATTCTGATTAAAACTATCATTCCAAGATTTGCTGATAAATTAATGATATAAACAGCCAAGAATACAGTAAATAGGGTCACTTTCATCTCTGGGTTATTGGTAATTCCCAGGAGAAAAAAATCAGTTAATGAGGAGCAATTTTCCCAGTCTATTCTTCCTTGTTCTTGTTTCAAACTGCTACAGAAATCATTATGAGGATGACAGATTAGGGCTCGACTTTCCAAGATATCAAAAAAATTATCTGTAAAGCAGAACAAGATTTGTTTATGTAAATTATCTTTTTTACCCTCAAAAAGTATCCTAGGTAAGTGTCCCTTTCAAAGAGGCATTACTGTATTAAAACAAAACAAAACAAAAAAACTAAAAGTGTCTACCAAAGGAAGTTGATCAACTTTGAATCTAAATTTATATGCAATTTCTGAAATACATCATTTATCTTTGCTTCTATTGTACAATCTAAGGCAGTCAATTTGATTAAACTGAAAGATCAGGACAGATCCAAAAGGAAGTGAAAGAAACACCAACGTTAGAGTAACAAGGACCAGAACATACAGTGCTAAACATCTCATCTATTTGACAAAAAAAGGATCACATTTATTGCATTATTCAAGAAATATATACTTTTTTTCTATCACTGACAGTGATATTATGTGTAAGTTAATAAGAGAAAATTATTATGGCACTGTTTTTGATGTGGTGTCTTTAGTGTTTACTGGAAAGGAAAAATGTTTGATTTAACTGTTACTCATCATCACTGGTTTGTCACAGCATTTGTAATCCATTTGGATGACTTACCTGGTTCCAAAGGATAAAAGCCAAATATGAGTGGTAAAAGAAGTGTGAACAACGGACTACTTACATTTGCTTGTAATTGACTTTTTTATTAAAATCAAAATGTGAAGAGGGACAATAAATGTTTCTGAAATATATAGGCTTCTGTTGCTTGTGTTATATGTGCATTCATTCTCGTGTGTGTGTGTGTGCGCGCGCCTGTGTGTGTCTGTTACATGAAAATTGAAATGTAGAGTGGGTCTGATTGTTATTTCTTCTAGACTTAAATACCATAATAACTTGAATTTTCATAAATTAGTACCTGTAATGTGTTACCTCTATTATTATTTGAGTAAATCTAGAACCAATCTTAAATTTACGCCTACAGTAACATCACATGTATGGTGATTTTTAAAGTAATGATTTACTTATGAATGTTGATTAAAATGTAAATGGGTGAAATCTATATTATCCTCTTACAAATGACAAGTAAGGTCAGTCAAATTCACACAGATCCAATAAGAAAATATCAGTTTGGCCATTAGTTTCCAGAGGTGCTTTAACTGAGGTAAGCACCTATAAAATCATCCATTTGTAAATTCGTTAATAAATGATTTCTCATTTTTCCAAATTTTTTCCTCTGTCCTTTAAATTGATCATTCAGAAACCTACCTGAGATGAGCAAGTCTTTGTCTTTACCTCTGGTATGTGAACAACAGGCAGATCACATTTTATTATTACCTGGTGACTGTTGGGACTTAAATCTCTCAAGTCTCTGCCTTCACTCCTTTATGTTATTTAAACATGATTAATTAGATTCTTGCTTCGGTATTTTCCCCAGTGAATGCTGCAACTAGTTTAGCAAAGGCTCCATTTTTAATTGTTCAACCTTATCACCAAATTGACCAGTGTTAGAAATTCATCAGAATTCGTTTAACAGTATGCTTCATGGTTATCATGAAATAAGACATCCAATGAAACTTGAATAGATTTTCGACTTAATGGTTTGTGTATCCTTTTCATTGTTCATCCTGTTTCTTTCACTTCTCAAAGTCTCCTTCACTTCCCATTTAGAAATATGATAATCTAACATGCTGCTTTTTTAATTAATAATTATCTAATTACTTTTTCCCAACTACATTGACAACTACCCTCATTTCAATTATTTCATGAATGTACATCATCCGTCACCTTGAACACACTTTTTCTTAATTTATATTTTATTTGTCTGTTGGCCTAAGTGTCTCTCTACATTCCCACAATTCCTAGTACAGAGATTTGTGTGAGTAACGTGTGCTTTTAAATATGATTGTGTGATGTTAAATATTTTCCAGTTGTTAGGCTGGTAATGTTCAACCAAGAAAAAACATAAACAACCTTTCAGGTCTGTTTCTCCTAATATAGTTGATATGTACAAAGATGATTCTTCAAAAGAAAAAGGGTGTTGAGGTCACGCTTTTTAAGACAAAAGCTAAGTTCTATTTATTTTCACAATAACTTTTATGTACTATTATTCATGGCAGTCCTTTGATACTTGGAAGTTACTCAAAGTGTTAATTTTGTGTCTACCCTATTCACTCCCCTACGGCTACTATGTATTGCTCTCCTTTCCCTCACTACTTTAGTCTAACATTTTAGCCTTTAACTTCATGGGACAGAGAGCTAAATCCTGCAGCCACATTGTTCTGGCCATAAAATTGTCTCTATTCTCTCTTCTAAAAACGTGCTTTTAAAGCACCTCTTCATTCAGCTCTGGGCTTGTGGAGGAAAAGATATGAATTTAAATACATTCTACAATGGACTGTGTATCACATCCCATGTGTTTTCCTTATATTAATTACTATATCTCCATATATGTTATCATACATTTCAAATATTATCTTATGTTTCCATCTCTAACAACTTCATTATATAGATACCAAAAGTGAAATTCAGAAGTAAAGAGTAAACTTCTGGAGTCTCATAGTCATGATATTTTCTTTCTCCAAGCACCTGCTCTCAATGTGTTTCTCCCTACAGTGTAACGAAAAAAAAATTTCTCTGTACTGGCCATGTTCTGAGTGATGTTTTATAACGTGTGATTCATTACTAGATACTTAGAAGTACAGATTTCTATGTGTTCTTTAAAGTCTACTGTTAACTTTACGGTACAAAAATGTATTCCCACTGACATTCTATCTTAAGGAAGTTAATCTATTTTTTACTACAAAAAAGTGAAAGAAAAATGTGTATGTACAAAACTAATATAGTAAGTGATAGACATTAGCCAGTGTATCCATATAAATACTCCAAGTGATTCCTGTGTCTTCCCAAACCTTACCAGGGAGTAGACAGGGGCATAGCCTTTTCTCAGAATTCCTATAAAGCTAGCCTATACCTGGCTAAATTATTAAAATATTCTTGATTGAGGAAAAAGTACTTTTTAGTGTTAAATTTCAATGGCTTTTTATGCTTTATTGTCATTGTTTGGGAGATGGTGCTGTTACAAATATACTAAATTTATGGCTATTGGAGATGTTGTTAAAGTCCAACAAATCAACTGTAATAATTTTCCACCCAATACACTAAGAACATTGATGCATTTGTGTTGCCCAAGAGCTTTACTACCATCATCTACTTCTCTAGTCCATATTTAAAGGAAATGGGAATTTAACTTGATTCAAACTCATTTTCATATCATGTGATTACCTGATAACAGGAATGACAAAACTCTTTAGGTTATACTTCACTTAGGTAAGACCTAAATTAGCTTCCTAATCTCGACTGTCCCTGGCCATGTAGGCTAAATTCTCTTCAACCCTTTTCATTAAAACCTGAATCTAAGTGGCCACATTATTATAAAAAGTTGGATAAAGTTATTGGTATTTAATTGAAAACACTTTCTTAAATTATGGAAGAAAATAATTTAGTTGGAATTTACATCAGAGGTAAGTAACTGAGGAAAAATACCTGTATCTAAATCTGTTGCCTGGTGTCACTAGTGCCACTGAACATAATACCCTGTAGGTAACAGTCTGCTTATAATCTTCTTCCTTCAGAAAAACATAGTTGTTTGTCCCTAAGTCATAAACCATTATGAATAAGTTTAGTGCGTGGTACTGTCCCAAGAAGAATCCGGCTCTCTTAGCTTCCCTTTTGCAGGAAACAATAATAAAAGTTCTTAAAGGTTGAATAAAACATTTTTGTTTTATTTTAAAAAAGAGAAATCTTAATAAAAAATGAATATTTACTGAACTATTTTATGACAGTCACACAACTTTTTCACAAAAATATGCTGAACTCTATTGAATACAAGGCATTACTAGTAATACAAATTTATAGTAATAATATTCTAAAATTTCTACAGTCTAATGGTGAACAGATTTTGCTTTTAGAAAATCTTTTGATGTGTAACATACATACAGATTATAATGATAAGTATACAACTAGATGAATTTTCAAAAAAAATACTCCTGTAACCAGGACCCAGACAAGAAGAAAGAAAGAAAGGAAGGAAGGAAGGAAGGAAGGAAGGAAGGAAGGAAGGAAGGAAGGAAGGAAAGAAAGAAAAGAAAAGAAAAGAAAAGAAAAGAAAAGAAAAGAAAAGAAAAGAAAAGAAAGAAAGAAAAGAAAGAAAGAAAGAAAATATTACCAGAATCTCCCAAAGTCGTCTACATTATCCCTCCTAAGTTATTACCCTCTGACCCTCAAGGAGTAATTACTTTCTTGATGTTTAAAACAGTAAATTACTTTCATATTTTTTGAACCATATATAAATTGATGCCTGCTGTGTGTACTGTTTTACTCAATGACATATTTGTGCAATACATCCAATTTGTTTCATACTGTTGTAGTACAGTCATTCTTATTGTTGCATATTGGAGAAATACATCCAATTTGTTTCATACAGTTGTAGTACATTCATTCTTATTGCTGCGTATTGGAGATTGACATCCAACTTTTCTTGGACTTTATTCTAATTCAAACACATTCCTGTCATGATGCTGTTCCAGAGATATCTAGTGTATAGGTAAAATTTCCAAAAGAGCATGGATTAACTGAGGAGATATAAAGACCAAAGGAAGCAACCTCATTGACTTTTCTACTGTTATACTTCCCCATGCTATGTCTCCGAATCTCAGAAAGAATGTCATCCTAGAGAGCAGAGTATCATTGCTCAACTTGGGATTTACAGGAAATCTAAAGTGTTTTCACTCAAAAGCCTTTTACAAGGGCACCTAGCTAGCCTTAGATGTTGAATGCTTTTCAACTTGTGTAACTGCAGAAAACATTTGAGTGTTTGTGATATTCATATGGTCCTTCAAACGCATATCCACGTCCCTGTTTACTATGGAAGCCACTTGCAGTACTTTGATCGTCAGAAAACTAGAGAAGAATCGTGAAAGTTATTAAGTATCTTATAATAATCTAGATAAGTACTCTTTAATTATTTTTGAAATAATTTATACTTGCCTTTAATATGCCATTACCTTTAGCATCCACAACCACATATGCACTTAATTATAAGATACAAAACATATATTTGAGATACACACTAGACAATCAATTATTTCTTTTTGCCTTATGATAAGCTTTCAATCAAAGTTAACTTTTTTCCTTATTTCTTTACTTATTGATTCAGACAGGCTCCTGGGTTCAAAGGGGTGGGTCTCTGGTGAAACTCCACCATCAAGCCAGGGACAGTCTGAAGACTGGGGGCCAGGTGGCCAGTCCCACCAACCAGAGTGAAAACTTATGGTGCTTTTCCTAGGCCTGCCCATGGCCACCCGTGAACCAATCAGCATACACTTCCTCCCCTCTGAAGCCCATAAAACCCCAGACTCAGCCAAACTTAGGCAGACAATAAGACAACCTGCCTTCAGAGAGGAGCTACCCACTGTAGGTCTCCTCTCTTCTAAGAATTGTACACTCTTGGGGATGACCTGCCTGTGGATAGGAGCTACCAACTCTGGGTAGCTGACTCTCCTGAGAGTCTCCTGAGAGCTGTACTGTAGCTCAATAAAGCACCTCTTCACCTTGCTAACCCTCCAATTGTCTGCATACCTCATTCTTCCCGGAGGTGGGACAAGAACTTGGAACCTGCCATGTGGCGGGACTGAAAGAGCTGTAACACAAATAGGGCCAAAATGTGTTCAGTGTGGCCCCCCAACTACTCTCCACATTGCGAGTGACAAGAAGGAGAGAAGAGCTGTGACCCTTCAGGAAGTCCAGACCTAAGGGCTGCCCGAGTCAGGGCTGTGACACCTTCTTTGGGGCTTCTTCGGTTTCCAGTGTCTTCAAGCTTCTGGGTGGTACCATGTTCCCCTCATCCAGACATGGGTGCCCACAGTGGAGGCTGCTTGTGGTACATCTGAATCAGCGACAGGCTTGCACGGATCCGGCACCTGGAGCTGCCCATCCTGTTGCAGCAGCTGACATGCCTGGCAGTGTGTGGTGGCCAGACTCCATGCTTGTATGCTCACTCATCCATTGCCACTCCAGCCTGGCTCACCCATGGTAGGCATGGGATCTGGGCTGGTAGTGTGAGCCGAGTACAGCCTGCCAGGCCAAGGCAGTGGAGGGAGCCCAGCAAGCCCAAGCAAAACTCGACTTGGGCAAAGGTGCCACTGGCAACAGAGGTCTCTGGCTGGTGAATAACACCCTAGGTATCCTATGACATAAAGGCAGTTGATAAAATATTTAAATGTTCACAGTTAACTTTCATACTTCAGACATTGTTTTGTCTTAAATGTTCTTCATCCTATTTCTCAGAAGCTGTAATATTGATCTATTATTTTCGTTTGTCATTATTTCTTTTGTATACCTCTGAAATATGCCTGTTCTTGATTAAAGAGTTAGTGGACCTTGTGAGACAAATTGAATTCTATGTTCCACAGTTATCTCTGACTGAAACCAATTACATCATATACAATACCATACATGTACCTCCGTGTTCTGTGAGTATATAAGAAAAATAGAGTTGTAGGTAGATGAAGAGAAAACAAGAATAACATTTGAATAATGATCTAGTGATCAATACACAGGTCCTCAAAGTCTTATCCTAAAGTCATTTAAATCTCTGTTCCTATGAAAACATATTTAACAATAATGGTTATCTTTATAAAAAGAGGACATTTTACATAGATATTCATATGTTAAATATATGCACATATGTGTAAAATATGCCCGTATATGTATATAC